ACAGCAGCTGCACGACTGGTACGGTCGCCGTCTGCGTCGCGCTTCTGGAGCTGGGGGCTCTGCTGCTGGAGGTACTTCTGCTGACGTCACTGGAGCTGGGAGTGGTGCTGGTCTCGGAGGTACTCGTACTGGGGGTACTGGTGCTACTGGGGCTGGAGGTGCTGAGCCTGCGGGTGCTGCTGCTGGGGACACTGCGGCTGGAGACCCTGGGACTGGGGGTGCCGGTTCTGGGGGTGCTGCTACTGGTGACGCTGAGTCTGGAGGTGCTGGCGCTGGAGGTACCGGTTCTGCGGCTGGAGCTTCTGGAGCTGCTGGAGGTGCTGGAGCGGCTGGAGACGCTGGAGCTACTGGAGGTGCTGGAGCTGCTGGTGCTGGTGCAGCTGCGCCGACACGACTGTTCTTCGCTCCGCTGTCTCCGTCGTCTCTGCCGCCGCCTGACTCTGCTCTTCGTCAGGTTGTTACTCTCCCGTCGTCTACTGGTCTTCCGTTACAGCCTGGCTCACCGCTGCCTGCTCCCTCTCCTTACACTGAGCAGACAGGTAGTCTTGCTGAGCGTCGTGAGCCTGCGTCGCGTCCTGTCTCGCCTGTTCGTCCTTGTCGTACCGTTCGTCGTGTTCCTCGTCAGCGTCAGCCGGCTGTCCCCGGCACACCCCTTGTAGCCCTGCGTCGGTCTTCCCCTCCGGAGCGTACTCCTCTTCCGTCTCCCCCTGCGTCCTCTTTGCCTGACGTTGCGGACCCTGCGTCTGACCGGTTTCGTGCTGAGCACCCTACTGTCACGCGTCTGCTAGCCACAGTTGTCACTGACCCGTCGTTTGAGTCTGCTGCTGCGTCTGCCTTAGTTGCTGAGCTTGTTGACTTTGCTGCTGCCTGTCGTCTAGACTACGCCACTAGTCTTGTTGCTGAGTCTGAATCTGTCTGTCCTCCGTCCGTCGGGGGTGAGTGTGCTCTTAGCACGGACGTCCTTGAGGACAGGCACGAGGATCTTGAGTGTCTTGCAGCCGCTGCGCCTCATCTCGTGACCATGCTGCTTGCCCCTGAGGGAGACCCGGATGCACCAGACATCCCGACCCCGCGCTCTTACGCTGAGGCGATCGCGGGTGAGTACTCCTCTCAGTGGCAGACAGCCATGGACGCAGAGATGGCATCCTTGAAGTCCACAGGCACTTACGTCGATGAGGTTCCCCCTCCTGGGGCGAACATCGTCGATGGCATGTGGATTTTCAGGGTGAAGCGGCCGCCAGGTTCTCCGCCCGTCTTCAAGGCTCGTTACGTTGCTAGAGGCTTCAGTCAGCGAGAGGGAGTTGACTTCTTCCAGACCTTCTCCCCCACCCCGAAGATGACCACTCTTCGGGTGCTGCTGCACGTTGCCGCTCAGCGTGACTACGAGCTTCACTCTCTTGACTTCAGCACAGCCTTCTTACAGGGCAGCCTGCACGAGGAGATCTGGCTGCGCCGCCCACCTGGCTTCACTGGGTCTTTCCCTCCTGGTACCCAGTGGAGCCTCCAACGGCCAGTCTACGGTCTCCGCCAGGCACCTCGTGAGTGGCACGACACACTGAGGACTACACTTGCGGCTCTTGGGTTCGCTCCTTCCACTGCTGACCCGTCACTGTTTCTGCGCACCGACACTTCGCTGCCGCCGTTCTACATCCTCGTGTACGTCGACGACCTGGTCTTTGCCACTGCTGACACTAAGGCTCTCGCTCAGGTGAAGTCGGAGCTGGAGAAGAGACACACGTGCACAGACCTGGGTGAGCTGCGCAGCTACCTTGGCTTGCAGATCACCCGGGACAGAGCACGCCGCACCATCACCCTGACTCAGTCACACATGGTGCAGCAGGTCCTTCAGCGCTTCGGCTTCTCCTGGTCCTCCCCACAGGCCACTCCTCTGGCTACAGGTCACACGCTCTCAGCTCCACCTTCGGACGAGTCCGTAGAGCCGAGTGGTCCTTACCCAGAGTTAGTTGGCTGCCTCATGTACCTGATGACTTGCACTCGTCCTGACCTCGCGTACCCTCTTGGCCTCCTGGCTCGCTACGTGGCTCCTGGTCGGCACCGACCTGAGCACATGGCTGCTGCTAAGAGGGTACTGCGCTACTTGTGCAGTACATCAGGCATGGGGCTAGTGCTTGGAGGACGGAGTGAGGTGGTGCTCACTGGGCACTCAGACGCGTCTTGGGTTGACGACCAGACTACACAGCGGTCGTCACAGGGTTACACCTTCAGTCTTGGCTCTGGCTCTGTTTCTTGGTGGTCTACACGCTCGTCTTCTGTTCTCAGCTCCAGTTGTGAGGCTGAGATCTACGCCACCGCCATGGCTGCACAGGAGCTACGCTGGCTCACCTACCTGCTGACTGACTTGGGTGAGCGGCCTCGTTCTCCTCCAGTTCTGTACGTTGACAACAAGGCGGCCATTGCCTTGTGTGAGGAGCACAGACTGGAGCACAGAACGAAGCACATCGCTCTTCGTTACTTCCTGGCTCGAGAGTTGCAGCAGCGAGGTCAGCTTCGTCTTCGTCACGTGGCCACTCGGGCCAACACTGCTGATATATTCACCAAGGCACTTCCGTCTGGTGATCATCAGCGCTTTTGTACTTTGTTAGGCCTTGTGCCTACGTTTCCACACTTGCTGTAGTCTTTGGTTGTACTGTGATCTATATATATATATATATATTCTGCATGCTTGCCCTTGCTAGGTAGTGATCACTGCTCTATTGTTGTTGCATATATATATACTTCTGCATGTGAACTGGCCTTGTGGCTCTTTGCTTGTGCTCAGAGAGTGTGGTGACGTTGTGATCCACCCTGAGCTTGCTTTGCTTTTCTTGACTGGTCGTGTGACCCTTGTTCTCCCCCACCTTGCCTATGGGGGTGTGTCAAACATATATGCTGCTTATTGTGTAGGCTGTAGTGGGGTAGCCCATATGGGGTACAACCCAAATTAGGGTTTCCTACTTGTACCCATCTTCCTGCTAGTTCATCCATTCCTGCTGCTAGATTCTAACACTGTTGCCCGTGTGTCTGCAGCTTCAGCCGTCGCCTCCCATCTTCTCGCCCCCACAGTTTCTCCTCCTCCTCACTTGCCCTCTGTGATAGTCTCTAGCTTAGCTTATAATTGTGAACCTACATTGCTCTGCCTGCTTGTTGTGCTGATTGTACCCCACTTTGACTATGGGGGTGTGTCAGAATATAATGCTTGTCTAGTCTGTAGTGGGGTACTCAATAGTGAGTAAACCCTTTTAGGGCTTGCTATTTGTACCCCTCTCCTTTCTAGTTCAAGCCCCTTCTCTCATATTTCTCTTTCGTGTACCCTAAACCCTAGGCTCCTAGTCCTAGGTTATGCTTAGTATTTCAACATCAAGTACTTCATTAAAAGGCTTCCGCTATTGTACCCAGAGTTTAGCCTTGCGGAGATCCTAAGGGCTTTTCTGAGCCCAACAGAATGCTTGGTCTTGTACGCGATGTTAGACTGCGGAGTAAGGACTGCCGAAAAATTCCTTACACATGCCTTAGTTCGAGGAAATTCGTAAATCTGTATATTGTGTAGAGGCTGTACCCTGATACGAATGGCTGTCATTAGGAAAGTTGGGACTCGGGGTTGTATGCAATGTGGCATACACCTAGCCACCGCTATTTTCAACTTCTGACCTTGGCACTGTTCCTGATTTTCATGTAAGCCCTGCCCAGCTTTCGGGATTTCCTGCTAGAAACCTCGTTATAGGGGACTATGAATGACATCAAATGGAGATTTCAATCGGGCGAGTGTAAGACAACTTCCGCTCCTGTGGAGTCTGCTTGCTGTTGCGCATCCCATTGCGTAGCTTTCAGGAGTCAGGAACTAACTCTGCGTAGAGCGTATGACGTCCGACACAACCCTCGGTCAAAAACGTTTTGAAGGGTGCCTACCCCTTTGCACACGTGGGGGTTGAAGATAGACCGAAAGAAAATAGCGGTAGTTAGGTGTACTAAAGCCAGCAAGGAATTGGATATTTCTTACAGTTGCTCTCCTAGATGGAAATTTGACATTTTTCCTATTATCGGGTTAAGCTCTAGTGAACCAGACAAGTCAAAACCCAGCGATTAGGCGTTGCGAAATGACGATGCTGTTTTATCGCGCGGGCGACGCTGGCGACGATTGTAAAGCAGCCCTGTTCCCTCCCAAGCAACCCCCGTGTAACCGTTTTGGAAATCAAACACAATCAGCATGGCCGCCTGCCGCGTCGCCTGCCTGCACTGGCAGCACGCATCACGTGAGAAAGAGCAAGTGCTGTAATTAGATCCGTGTGCAATGCTGCATCTATTATCGAGGACAACAACCGAGCCCTTTCTCACGTGTAACGCCTGAATGTTCCTCGTTTTGGTCACGTTACACCATCCTTGTATGTGGATTCAAGAACGAACGGGAATGGAGCCGCCTCGCATGATGGTGACGCTTTTTCCCGCGCCGCCAGGCAACCAATCTCATTTGAGAATGTCTTTAGAATGCTCAACATCACCCCATGAGGCTGCGGTAATGCTGAAGTTTTTTTTGCGGCCCCGCCAGGCAATCCAAGACCCGGGCCGCGACTAGCCTCGCCGATGCCTGCCCCGTCGCGGCACGGCGAGCCATGGCGGCACGCCCGACGAGGGAAGCGCGCTCCGCCGACAGAAGCAAGACGCAAGCGTCGTCTGTCTCTCCAGAAGGGGTGGGAGCCAAGCCAAGCAAGGACCTTCCCTCGGTGCACACCAGACTGCTCCGAGCGGTCTCGGTTGCTTCGGCCGCACTTCCACAGATGGTTCAGCAGCAGCAGCGCCTCTACCGCCAAGCGGTATCGCGGAGAATCTCGGAGAAAATCGTCTCGAAACTTTTTTTCACCTTGATTGTGCCAATCCGCTTCCAGGGATCTCAGCTCCGTCCTAGTCGTAAGCCTGTCGCTCATCGCGCAGCTCGTCGCGCGGCTCGTTGCGCAGCTTGTCGGCCCTGTCGTCGTCGCGTAGGCCGTACTGAACGGAAAGCCGAGCTAAACGTTCGAGACACATATCGTAGCCCTAAAGTTCCGTATGACGACCGCCTCCGCCTCCGCCTCCACCTCTGCCTCCGCCTCCGCCTCCGCCTCCGCCTCCGCCTCCGCCTCCGCCTCCGCCTCCGCCGAGTGCGCCGATCTGCTCCCCGGCCTGCCCCACGACCTCGCGCTCGCCTGTCTCGCGCGCCTGTCCCTCTGGGACCTGCCCGCCGCGCGCTGCGTGTCGCGCGCCTGGGCGGCCGCCATTCGCCGCCGGTCGTTCGGTCGCCTGCGACGCGCCCGCGCCGAGGAAAAGGGGCGGGGGGTGGCGGGGCGAGGGGAGAGGTTGCGCCACCGTTGGGGGGAAGGGAGGGAGAAGGGGGAGGGGGAGGAGGAGGTGACGGGAAAGTCGAAAGGAAAATCGGTGGTGGAAGACGAGGGGGAACTTCGATCTTTGCCTCCCAAAAGTTACTTGAGAGACTCGAAGAAACACTTCCTGCCGATGCACTGTGAATCTCGTCGCCCAGCTTCAGTGGGATTGAAGGCGTGTGTGGGATTGAAGGCGTGTGTGGGATTGAAGGCGTGTGTGGGAGTGAACGAGGGCCACTGTGACAGCCCGCTGGGTGCAACGTTTGTGGTGTGCGTGGGTGGCAGCGACGGTAGCAGCAGCGACGGCGCCGGCAGGCAGCGACTGCAGTGGTTTGCCTTCTGCGTCTGTGAAGCTTGCAGTACCTTCGATCCCTGTGGAGCATGTGAAACATGCGATATGTGTGACCGCTGTGACCGCTGTGACCGCTGTGACCCCCGCCAAGCCTGCCAGCCATGCGACAAGGACAAGACGCCGTCGAACCTCTGCAACCGCTGCTCCCCCAGATCATCCCCCCCCAGGTGGCGCCGCCTGCCTCCGCTTCCCCCCACCAACCCCCACGCCCACCCAGCCTGTTACGGCGCTGCTGCCGCCGTGATTCCCGGAACCGGGTTTGCCATCGTGGGTGGCGCCGTGCCTTGCCAGTCAGGCAGGCCGCAGCACGTGCGCCACGTGTCAGTGTTTGACTGGCACATGGGCGCGTGGTTTACTGTGCAGCAGCCGTGTCTGCTTCCCAGATTGGACCCTGTGGTGGCTGGAATGGGTGGGGTGCGGTGGAATGGGGGACAGAGGGGTTGCATCATGGTTGTTGGAGGGTGTCCTGTGCCGTTTTTTCCACAGGGGAGCTCTGCAGGTTTATGTGGTAGGGTTGCTGTTCGCCCCTCAGAAACGGGGTTAGTTGAGCACCATCCTGGTTTTTCAGCTCCTGGAGCCTCTCCCAGCTTGCCACGTGGCAGTGCTTCTCCCAGCAGCCACTCACGCCACCCGTTCCTGGGGGTGTGCACGATGTGCATTGCCATGCCTGCAGACGGGTTCGGTGCCGGCGAATGCGACAGTGACGAGCACTCCAGGAACAGCGAATCGGGGTCTATTCGCAGCAACGGCAACAGCAACGGCAGCACCAACAGTAGCGGCAGCGGCAGCAGCAGCAGCAGCAGCAGCAGCAGTGGCGGCAGCAGCAGCAGCAGCAGCAGTGGCGGCGGTGGCGGCACAAGCAGCATGCTGAGTGGTTGCAGTTTGACTGAATGCGGCAGCAGCAGCGGGGAGCAGTATTACCAGTTTCCAAGGCTGGACTCACTGGCACTGGGAGGGCGGGTGTTTGTGCGAAGGCACAGGTCGCCCTACTTTGCCATCAACCCAGGGGGCTTCAACCACCATCCACCTGCTCACACTGCCAATGGCGCTGGTAACCGGGTAACAGGCGCTGGCGGTAATGGTGTGCTCAACAGCAGCATGGTGTCAGAGGCAGGTGTGGTGGAGGCTGACTGGGAGAGCGGTGAGATGTGGAGGGTGGTGGAGGAGTGTGACTCCATCCATGCTATCTGGACCAGAACACATGTGGCACAGGTGATTGTTGCAGGTGTGACTGCAAAGCCAGCAGCAGAAGAAACCTCAAATAGAGCGTGCAGCAGCAGAGTGCCCCGGGTTTCAAGTCTTGAGACGCCTCAGGAACAACCAGGCGCACACAGCAGCAGAGCAGCAGCACCACACACCGCACCCGTTACCTACACCGTGCTCTGCTCCCTGGACCCTAACCACTCTCTCCTTGTCTTCAACCACCTTGAGAGGAAATGGGTCCCTGCTGGCCCTCCCCTCCCCCCTCCCTGTCCGCCTCGTCCTCCTCTTCCACATCGGTCGTCTCAGCTCCGTTACCCCTGTGGCAGGGGCAGCGGCTCGCATGGGGTATATTGTTCCACGCCACCCTGCTGTGCACCCATGCCACCCTGCGCAACCACTACACGGTTCAACTCGCATTATGCTGCGCTCAACTCGCGCCTTGGAAGCTGTGCCGGCAATGATGCAGCTTCCAGTGTTGTTTCCCGTTCCAATGCTGCTTCTGCTACTGGCTCTGTCTCTGCTGTGGCTGCTGCTGCTGCCAATTCAGGAAATGCTGCCAATTCAGGCAGTGCCGTCAATTCTGCCGTCGCCGCCAATCCTGCTGGTGCCGCCAATCCCGTCAGTTCTGCCGATTTCGGAAGGCTGCAGCAGCTTGTGGGGTGTAGCGGCCGGCTCTTGGCTCTCTTCCAGCCACACGACCCGCGCCTCCCAGGAGTCATGCGAGAAATCCTCCTCCCGGACCTCCACTCTCTTGCCTCTCTCTCCGCCCTGCTCCCTCACATCTCCTCGTCCTCATTCTCCTCCTCGCGCCCCTCTCAGCCTTCTCTCTCCGCCCTTCTACCTTACACCTCCGCCTCCTCATTCCCGTCGTTCCCCTCTCAGCCACCCACCACTGTTGAATCCCCAGCAGCACAGCCACGGGCTTCAGGGAGCGTGCCTGTAGCAGCAGCCGGAGAATCAATGCAGCTGAGTAGTGATAATAACGAGGCTCGATGTGGCTGGGCAATAGGCGCTCCAGTGGCCTTGCCTGGCAACGGAAGGTTGCATCATGTGCTCTCCATGCACCCTGCCGTTTAGGTACGATTCTTTCGATGAGATCAGATTTGGCTGTACATAGGGTATTGAACTACGGTAATCTGATGTTGAGTTTCTGAAAGATGTGTTTAGTGAATGCTGCAGAATCCGAGTTACGGTACTACTCTCTCCGTTTTTCCAAAGCTCTGCCTCAGAACATCCTGTCTGTGAGTGCATGCACTGTGATTCTAGGGCAGTACTGACTGGGTGGCACATTGCACACGGGCAGAAAGAGCTCAAACTTGTTTGGTTGGGGGGTTGGGTACCGGTAGTATGGAAGCTGAGAGGTCACTCCTACACAGAAAGGAAGTTCTCATTGTAGCGCTGTATCTTCCTTACACCTCTACGTGCTACACAAACAACATTCGGTCTTTTATCAATTGCAGCCAAGTTCATAAGCATTTGCTTGCATGGGATAGGTTTTGGAGAAACAACGTAGTAATTGTTGATAGTTCTCGATCCATTACACATGCTTGCATCTGCAACAATCAATGGCACGTTCCTTCCTACAAATGAGTCCTTGCTGCTGCAGTGAGCCCATGGCATGGTGCTTCACGCTCGCCTGAGAGCAGCAGCCTTCATGGCTTCCACCAGCTCCAGCATCTGACAGCCATGGCATACAGGCGCATGGGAGCATGGGAGCATGGGAGGGATAGTGATGACGGGGGAGAGGAGTGGGAGGGGCAGGGGGAAGGGTGGGAGCAGGAACGAAACCCATGGATGGAGAGATTATGATAGGAAAATGGGCATGCATTTAGATGCTCCATAGAAATGTGAACTGAACTCCGTAAGGCGGCTCATGCATTTGTAATGTTCGCTGAGGCGTAACCCAGAGTTGGTGGGTGGTACAAAAAGGCGTGTGGGCACACGGGCGAATGGGGGGGGGGGGGGGGGGGGGGGGGGGAGGGAGGAGCGAGAGGGGTGCGGTGTGCTATGCATGCGTGCCTGCGTGTCTAAGTGTGGGTGCAAGCAAGCACGCGCGCGCGTGTGCACGTGCATGAGTGTGCATGGTGCATCCATCCCCTCCCACTCACCCCAGGCAGTCCTCTGAGCATGGGCGCATGGTGCGCGAGCCGCACAGCAGCCTCCTCTATCAGCTCACTCAGCACATCCACCTCGTCGCCCAGCAGCTGCACCTCCCTCTCCGCGCGCCCCAGGTTCGCCATCGCCACGCCCACCGCCTCCTGCTGCTGCCGCCACTTCTCCTCCGCTGCTTGCAAGAGCCTGGGGGGTAAGGTCATAGGGTGGTGGAGAGGGAGGACGTTTGAGGCACCTCTATCAGTCGCAGACTGACCGGAAAGGAGTGCAGACTGACTGGAAAGGAGAGCAGACTGACCGGAAGGGAGTGTCGCCTGGAGAGGCCACGCTAGAGGCAGGCGACCACGGCTGTAGCTGCCCGTGCCTGTCGTTCCCTGCTGGCGTGGCAGCTGTAGCAGGCGTGACTGCAGAAGGAGTGAAATACGCTGGCGTCTTGGCACCGCTGGGTGTATACACTGGCACTCCTCCACCTGCCCCTCCAGGTGTTTCGTCAGGTGCCCCCTGATGCAGCACCAGAGCGCCACTGGATGCTGCCAGCTGCCTGCTCCCCTCCCTCTCCCCCTCCACCCCCCCTGCGTGGTCCAGCGCCCACAGCAGGTTCTTCTGCACGCTCTCCACCTCCCCCACCCCTTGCGCTCGCCCTCCCACCCCCTGTGCTGTGAAGAACGCAGCAGGGGAAGGCGCAGCAGAAGCAGCAGCAGCACCTGCAGCAGCAGCGGCAGCAGCAGCAGTGGTGGCACCCGCAGCAGCAGAGGGGGCGAAGAGGGGAGGCGAGGAGGGCCAGGCGAGTTGCAGCTTGAGGCGGCTCTCAATCTCCTTCAGCTTCTCCTCCGCTTCCCCTCTCCTCCTCCTCTCCCCTTCCCTCTCCCTCTCCGCCCTCGCCCTCTCCCCCATCACCCGCTCCACCTCCCTCCCCACCCGCGCCACCTCCCCTTCCATGCGCGTCACCTCCTGCTGCCACCGCTTCCTCTCCTCCCCCGCCTGCCTCTCCCGCTCCGCCAGGGCAGCAGCGGCACGAGCAGCAGCGCTGGCAGCGGCATTTCTGGTCTCCTCTAGTGTCTGCAGCGCTGCTCTCACTCTCTCTTCTCCATGCTGCTGCTCCCTCACCATCGCCTGCTCACCTGCCTGCACCTGCTGCTGCAACCGGCGTGCCTCCCCTTGCCACTCCTCCACCTGCCCCTGTAACTCCTTAACCTGCCCCTGCAGCCCGTTCACCTGCCCTTGCAACTCCTCAACCTGCCGGTGTAACTCCTCGATATGCCCGTGCATCCCCCCCACCTGCCCCTGCAGCCCGTTCACCTGCACGCGAAGCACCTTCTCCTTCTCCTTCCACACACCCACCGCTCCCTGCAACTGCCGCACCTCCTCGCCCTTCATCCTCACCTCCACGCCCTTCACCCCCACCTCCTCCTCCAACTCCCCCACTCTCCTCTTCACCTCACTCACCTCCCTCTGCAGCCCCTCCCGCTCCTCCACCAGCTCCTCCCTCTCCCTCGCCGCGGCCGCCTCAGCCACGCGCCGTTGCTCCTCCAGCATCTCACTCCACTCCTCCGCCTCCCGCCTCTCCTCCTCCCTCCTCCGCCTCTCCCTCACCAGCTCTCTGCTCACCGCCTCGCCCCACCCCTCGCTCTGCAGCAGTGCTTCACGTGCCACCAGCAGCTGAAGCTCACAGCAGCCCAGCGCTCTCCTCACTGCATCCACCTCCTCCTCCGCCGCCTCCCTCTTCCCAGCCACTGCCCCCTTGGCTTCCTCCTCCTCCCTGCACGCTTCTGCACTCGCCCTGCCTGCTGCCCCTTTTGCTGTCCCTCCTCCCCTTGCACTGCTGCGTGCGCGCGCAGCCCCCTGCTCCTCCTCCATCTGCTGCAGTGCCTGCACCACAATAAAAGACTCCAAGTCCCTCGCCCTCGCTTCTTGCTCCCACCCCGCCGTCCCCTCTCGCTTCCCCTCCTCCCATCCACCACCGCCCCTCTTTTCTTTCTCCTCATTTTTCCCTTCCCCCTCGCCCCTCCCATCAGCCTCCCCTCTCCCCACCATCTTCTCACCCATCCCCCCAGCGTCTCTCCCCAAAAGTCTCTCCTCTGCTGTTTCCAGTGCCAACTGCATCACCAGCACCTGCACCTGCGCACCCAACACCATCTCCTTCCCCCACTCACCTCCACCCTCACACCTCACTCCCTCCCTTCCACCACCCAGCGCTCCCACACCCTCCTTCCCCTCCTCCCCTTCCCCAGCTAACCCCACCCCTTGCCGGGCCTCCTGCCGAGCCTCTTCCAGGGCCCTCCGAGCCTCGGTCAGATCAGCCAAGTACTGCCGAAGCTGGGAGGCCTGTTCCTGCCTCGCCGCCCGTTCCTCCCCCCAAGCCTCCTCCATGCCTCTCACGGCTTCTTCCAGCACTGCCACGTGTACACCCTCCCCCACCACACTCCCCACTGCCGCCCCTGCCACGTCACCAGCCTTTGCCAGCTGGCACGCCGCCTCGCACGCCAGCTGGCGCCGGCGCTTCCTCAGCTGGCTGACAGCTGTCGACACGGAGCGCAGCCGCTGAGTCAGCGTTTCTCTGAGCTGACTCAGCCGGTGCTGCTGGCTTTCTGCTGCCACAGCTGCTGCGTCCCACTCCTGCCTCTCCCTCTCCACCCTCTTTTCACTCCTCTCTATCCCTTCCAACCGCTCTGCTGCATCTACCTCTTCCAGCCGCCCACCTGCACGTGCTCCTTCCCATCCCCTGTCATCCCCTGCCTTTCCTGCCACATCAGCATCACTCAGCTGTGTCAAGGCCTGGGAGCAGTTCAACAGTTGTAGCGCCACCATACCTGCGCCCGCTCCATCATCCTCACCAGCACTGCCACTTGCAACGCCACAGGCACCTGTACCTTGGTCCCTGCTCCCGTTGCTGTCCCCCACACACCACAGCGCATCCCCCGCCTGCCGCCACCACGCCCTATCCCTCTCCACCGCATCCAGCTCCTCCCCCAACGCCTTACAAACTCGCTCCATCTCCCCTGCTGCGCGCTCCACCACCTCCTGCCATTCCCCGCCCCCACACCCCTCTCCCTCCCCCCCTTCCCCCCATCTTCCGCCTCCCTTCCCGCCAACCCCCCCCTGCTCGCGCCTCCCCTCCCCACCCTCCGCCTTCTCCTTCCCCAGAGTGTCTAATTGCTGCTGCTGCGCCTCCACCTCCTTTTCAAGACTCGTTATAATCACATTCAGCTTGCTCACCTCCTCCCTCCCCCGCTCCACCTCCTCTATCAATCCTTCTTCCCTCTCCCTCGCTCTCTCCAGCTGCTCCTCCAGCCGTCCTTTCTCCCTCTCATGCCCGCTCTTCCGCTCCTCCTCCTCCTCCTCCCACCCAACCAGCACCTGCTGCCAGTCCCGCCTCACCCCCTCCATCTCCTCCTCCTTCTCCCTCACCACCGCTCTCAACTCCTCCACCTCCTCTCTCAACCCCCTCATCTGCTGCTCGCTCTCAGCCGCAAACGCACACAGCCGCTCCTCCTTCTCCACCACAGCGCGCAGCAAGCTCTTCACCTTCTCCCTCTCCTCCCTCACCTCCCTCTCCAGCCCCCCCACCTTCTCCCTCTCCTCATCCGCAGCAGCCTCCCACTCCTCCGCAGCCCGCTTCGACTCCCGCCAGTACTGCTGCAACTCCACCATCCGCTCTCGATACACCTCCTTCTCCTCCTCCACCTCCGCCACCTTCCCCCGCCACTCCGCCTCCACCTCACCCAACCTCTGCCTGCACTCATCAGCCTCGTCCCTAGCAGCATCCAAGCGCCTCTTACACTCATCCGCCTCTTCTCTGGCAGCGTCCAGCTCATGGTAGCTGCGGGCGATCTGGGACACGGCGGCCTGGCTGACCTTGAGGCGCCCCTCCAGCTCGGCGATGCGCTTGTTCTTGCTCATCAGCTCCAGGTGCAGGACCTTCACCCGCACACTCGCTGCCTCAGGCTCCCCTTCCCCGGACTCACCTATTTCGCTTTCACCCGCCCCACCGGACTCACCTCTCCCTGCACTGCCACAGTCCCTATCTTCTGCAGCAGCAGCACTGTCATTCACCCGTACAGCCACAGACGCACTCCCAGAAGCCGCAGGAGCAGCAGGAGTGGCAGGAGCGGCAGGAGTGGCAGGAGCGGCAGGAGTGGCAGGAGCGGCAGGAGTGGCAGGAGCGGTAGCGGCCGAGGGAGCAGCAGCGGCGTGAAGAGTGCGGTGCTGCTGCCTCTCAGCGACCCCCACTTGACCCACTTGACCCACTTGACCCACTTGACCCACTTGACCCACTTGACCCACTTGACCCACTTGACCCACTTGACCCACTTGACCCACTTGACCCACTTGCGCCACTTGCGCCTCCAACCGCCTCACAGCGTCCCTCAGCGCCTCTGCCTCCTGCTGCCGCCGCTCTGCCTTGCCGCGCCACGCCTCCACCTGCGCCAGCATGGCGCTCAGCGCCTCCTCCAACTCCTCCACCCGCCTCTGCGCACACCGGCCGCTCTCCCCCGTCATCACACTTCCCGTCATCACGCTCTCTCTTCCCGTCAACACACTCCCCGCTCCTGCTGCCCCTCCTGCTGCTGCTGGTGGTGCTCCTGGTTCTACAGCAGCTGCCCCCATCCCAGATTCTCCCATCCCACCCTTACTCGCTTCAGCACTACACGCCTCATCATCCCCAACCCCCTCCCTCCCTCCCACCCCTCCCTCCATCCCTCTCCCCTCGCCCACTTCCAGTCCCAGCCCCTCCCCATCACCACTTGAACCGCCCCTCCTCCGCACCCGCCCTTCCATGTTCCCTGTGAATCCCCGTCCCTTTGGCCGTTTGCCTTTCACAGCAGACCCAGCGCCCTCCTCCAGAATCCCTGTCCCTGCACCTGTCCCCGCCCTTGCCACACCTCGGCCCGCTCCATCGCCCACGCTTCCACTGCTCTCCTCCACCTTCTCCCCCTCCCCATCCTCAACCCCTTCCGCCCTCCCCTCTGCCTCTCCTCCTCCGCCCTCGCCTCCCCCCTCACCTGCACTCCTCTCCCTTGCCACCACCTGTGCCATCTCCAGCAGAAGTGCCACCCCGTCCTCTTCCTCTGCCACCTCTCCATCCTCCTCACCCCCTCCCCCACCCTCCCTTTCCGACCCTTCCCCCTCCTTCTTCCCACCCACCTCCCTCCCCACCGCCCTCCACTCCTCCCCATTCTCCTCCCCTTCCTCCTCCTCCCCTTCCTCCTCCTCCCCGTCCCCACTACCTGCTCTCACCCACGGGGCAATCCTCACGCGTGCTCGTATCTCAGGTGACTGTAACGAGGGTGACACATCTCCCTCCTCTGACACAGGCCCCTCACTCCCCTCGCTCTCCTCACTGAACCCGCCCTCGCTATTGTCACTCCCACCATGCCACACACCCCCATTCCCACCAAAAAACCTCCCTCCTTTAACTCTAAACCCACCAGCACCACCACCCCCCCCTCCTGCACCTCCTCCCCCACGGCCAGCTATCCTGGGCATGGGTGCGGCCCCAACAGAAGCAGGTCGCCGCTCCTTAACCCCTTCCCTCGCCTCCCTCACCTCCCCTCCGCGCCCCTCACTCCCCGCTCCGCCCCGCCCCACCACGCCTGCAGTGCTGCCCGGCCGCACCACAAACGCGCGCCCTGCAAGCTCCCCTGACGGGTGCTCCCGCCCTGACACCTCCTCGTCTAACAGCATTGACAGCCCTGCTCGTGCCTGTGCTCCTGCCCCTCCCCCTGCTCCACCTCCTGCCCCTCCCCCTGCTCCTCCCCCCCACCTGAATCCGCCCACGCCCACGCCCACCCTCGCCCTGCCCGCCTCCTCTCTCCTGCTCTCCACCTCCTCCCCTTCCTCCTCTTCTTCCTCCTCCCCTCGCTCCCCCTCCCCTCCCACCGACTCCTCTGAGCCAGTATCTGCCTTCCCTCCTCTCTCCCCTCCTCCCTTCCCTCCTCTATCCCCCCCTCTCTCCCCCCTTCCCCACCCCGCTCTCCCCTTTCTCCCCCCCTCCAGTGCCCTCACCCTCTCTCTCAAACCCTCCTCCACCTCCCTCCGTTCCGCCACGTCAGCTTCCAGCTCAGCAATCCGCCTGTCACAAGCGCGCTTCACCTCTTCCAACTCGCCCTTCACCGCACTACACCGCTGCTCCCTCCCACTCGAGATACACCGCTCACTAAACAGCTCCTGATTCAAAGCCGCCACCTCACCCTCCAACTCCCCCACCCGCCGCTCCTTCTCCCTCACCTCTCCCTCCAGCCGGCCAATCAGAGCGTCGCTAGCTGCCAGCCTGGCAGCGCCATCTGCCAGCTGTCTCTCTGCCGCTCTCAGCTGCTCCAGCAGCTTCCCCTGCCGCCCCTCCTCTTCCTTCCGCGCGTCCCTCTCTCCCTCAGCCTTTTCAACTCTCCTCCTTAGCTGCTCCACCTCCTCCTCCAGGGCCCTCGCCTGCTCCTCTGCCTCTCTCGCCCTCTCTTCTGCTGCTCGCACTCTCTCCTCCAGCTGAGTCCTCTCACCGGCCCACACCGCTTCCCGGTCAGCTAGTTCGCCCCACAGCTCAGCAGCCTCTGCTGTGCGCGCCTGCTGCTGCTCCGCTGCCCCTGCTTCCGCTGCTTCCGTCCTCGCCTCCGCCTCGCCCCTCCCCATCTCTGCTGCTTCCGCCCTCGCCTCTGCTGCTCCCGCCCGTGCCTCTGCGGCATCTGCCCTCTCTTCCGCTCGCCCCACCAGCGCCTCTGCTGCTGCTGCTCTCGCCACTGCCTGCTCCGCCCTGGCAAGAGCATCAGCCACACGCGCGTGCCACTCCTCCTCTGCCTGCTGCATCGCCACTCCCATCACTTCCACCATCACTTCCACCATCACTTCCCCACCTATCCTGCCTTCCACCTCTCTCTGCTCCCACTTCTCCTCCTCCTCCTCAGCTCGTCTCACCTCCGCCTGCTGCTGCTCTAGCACCTGCCTCTGCAGCTCCCTCTCCCGCCCATGCCACGTGGCAGCCGCCTGTTGGAGCGCCGTCTGCAGCACCGCCTCCACCAAATCACCCTTAGCCGCCCACTCCTCCCTCTCCTCAGCTACAGCCGCCGCTACAGCCGTACCTTCCCTCTCTCCCGCCCTCCTGGCCTCTTCAGCCACAGCCCTACCAGCTGCCTCTGTCCTCACCGCCTGCTCCGCATCAGCCAGTCGACCCAGCAGCTCTCGCCTCTCCCCCGCGCTCTTCTCTTCCCATCCGCGCCACTCGCCTTCCACCTGCTCTAGAGCCGTCTGCAGCACCGCCTGCACCAGATCGCCCTTCGCCGCACACTCCTCCCTCTCCTCCACCAGTGCTCCCCGCTCCCCCGCATACCTCTCCCCCCATCCACGCCAGTCCCCTTCCACCTGCTCCAGAGCCGTCTGCAGCACTGCCTGCACCAGATCGCCCTTCGCCGCCCACTCCTCCTTCTCCACAGCTACAGCCGGCGCTACAGCGGCAGCAGCCTGTTGGAGGGCCAAGTCCACGACTGTATCAACCAGGTCGTCCCTCATCTTGCACTCATCGCTACGCTCAGCTACAGCCGCTACAGACGAAACTCCTCCAGCTGCTACAGCCGCTACAGACGAAACTCCTCCAGCTGCTACAGCCGCTACAGACGAAACTCCTCCAGCTGCTACAGCCGCTACAGACGAAGCTTCTCCAGCTGCTACAGCCGCTACAGACGAAGCTTCTCCAGCTGCTACAGCCGCTACAGCTTGCTCCAGGGCGACCTCCAAGACGTGCCGCTGCAGTGACGCAGCTGCTGCTGCCGCCGCCTCGTCTCCCGCATCCACCCCTTCCTCCTCCCGCTCCCTTCTTGTCCGCACCTCCCTCGACTGCTCCCCTCTCTGCTCTTCCCCCTGCGTCCACGTGGCATGCCAGCTGGCAGCCGCCTGCGCTACAGCCACCTCTACCACGTCCGCCTGCAGCTGCTCTGCTGTTGCGGCAAAAACAGTGGGTGTGACAGCAACAGATCCTGGCGGAGAGGCGACAGCAGCAGCAGAGGCAGGAGGGAAACTGTCAACATCTCCTTCGTCTACCTTTTCTAATCTGCTTCCCTCCGCATCCACCCCTGCTCCTTCGCGCGAGTCCTCCAACCCTGCAGTCAAACCCACGTCTGACCTTTCAGGCGTCGCCCCTATCGCAGGTTCAGTCGCAGGTCCTGTCGCCAGAGCCTGCGACTCTTGCGACGTCTGAGTCGCTCCAGGCAACGCCGGCGATTCCTCTTCCCCACCGGATCCGCGCGCTGCATTCACCGCACCGCCCGCCTTGTTTTGCGCCTCCGCATCGCAGGACGGGGCGGCGGGGGGCGCATCCGCATCGGGGGGCGGGGAGGAGACGGGGGACATCCACGCGCCCAAAATCCCCCCAAACTGTAGCCACGTGGAGGAGGGTGAGGGCGTCAGGGCAGCGCGCGAGGGGGTGTGCGCACCGGGAGAGGGGGTATTTGCGGCCGCGGAACCTCTTTCGGCACTCGCGGGCGTCCTGGGTTGTGCGGATCCCGCCGTTGATTGAGCCGGCGACGGCGATGCTACAGAATCTGTCGCATGTGGATCTGTCGCACGCGAATTTGGCGCCTGATTTTCTACACCCAAGGAGGCGTCCGCCCCTTGGGCATCATCCAACCGCGACTCTGTCTCCATCGTCGCATCTACACCGTCGATCGCAGCGATCAGGTCCGCCACTTCTCTATCCGCTTCCGCGATCTCGTCCGCGCGGATTTTAGCTGTTGGGAATCCCCATAGCCCTTGTCGCACGACTGGTGGGTGCTCTCGCAGCTGCTCTAGCGACACCTCAAGAATCAGCTTCTGTAACTCTTTCGCCAGCAATTCGTCGCCTTCGTCTCGCGACATTCTACGGCCAAAAAGAACCCTCGCTGCGTGCTTGGAAAAATACTCATTCCGAGGAGTTTAGGAGGGATGCATTGGAGGATCAGAAGTAGGTGCTGCCTTTTTTTCCTGCGGGGTCCCGTGCATTGCCTGGATTTGTGATCTGGACCGTCATTTCGTGGATCGCGATGGGTGCTGCGGTGTGTCGTTCCTGATTCGTTTCAATACACTTCGAAGTCCGTTACTGTAGAAGCACAGAGACGCACTTCTCTTAAATCCATATCTACACAATCACACGTAGCCCTTACAAGTGTACAAGAAGTATGATTAACCAATAACTACAGCATACTGGTATGTAACCGAAATTCTAGCCAGCCCTCATAGATGCCGTTCTGGAATTAGAAACTAATTGGGTCCAAGGGGTTGCCCAAAAAAAAAAAGGAAAAAGGCAAACACAAACTAGTCCGTTTCAGGTACAGGTTGCTTCAGCGCCGCCCAGACTCCAGTCTTCAAAAACCTTTTAGGGTCGATTCAAGAGCGTCCCATCTCAAGCCGTTTCAGGTACAGGTTGCTTCAGCACTATCAAGAGTCTTGACAAACCTGCCTTTCACCCGCTGCCTCCCGTCCGCGCGTGTCTTGCGTGACTCGTACCGAATCTTCTTGGCAAACCTGGAGCAATTGAGAACGGGCGAATGGAGAACGAGGTGGGTTAGATGCAGGGCTCAAGGGTCAAGAGAATGAGGGTGGCAAATAAACTGTGGTGAGAGGGATACTCACGTGCGGTGCTTCTTCTTCTCCATGTATCGCATCACTGCCTCGTCCCTGGCAGCTGCTGCTGACACCGCCACCATGGCTGATAGCACCGTGCCGCCCGTCATTGGCCCGCCCATCACCCCGCCGCCCGCCCCCTGCATGCTCCTTGCCCGGCACAACCAGGGGTCCGCAAGAAACCCGTTGACCGCATTGACCGGGTTGACTGTATTGACTGGGTTGACCGCGTTGACTGAGTTCCCATTGATCGCATTGACTGGGTTGGCGGAGTTGAGGGCATGGAGGGCATGGGCCATGCTCATGGGACCGGCAGGCTGCATCGCACCACCACCACCGAACAGCATGGCAGCACTGGCGGGACCAACTCTCTCAGCGCCAGCAAATGCCTCTGACTTCACCTCCACTGTAGCCGCCACAGCAGAAGCACCGGCAGCACCAGCAGCGCCACCAGCAGAACCACCAGCAGCAGCAGCGACTGCCACCATTTCCGCATCCACAAGCGCTGCCATACCCATAGCCTCACCCTCATTTCCTCCCTCCCCTGCCTGTGCGTCTGGGGTGGCAGTGCCAGTGCCTCTACTACTATCCCTCATCATCTGTCCCTCCAGCGCCCGGAACAGCGCCAGCTCCCTCTCCTCCTGCCCCGCCTCCCCCGCCGCCCCTCCCGCACCTCCCGCCGCACCTGCCAAGGAGCTGGACGCCGAAGCTGTGGACAAGGTTCGGATAGCAGCATTGTTCCACAAGGCTCCATTCCTCCACGGCATGCGACCAGAGGCATCTGCTGCAGCAGCAGCGGTGCCGAGAAGAGTGGCAGGGGTGGTGACGAGGTCACCAGGGCCGTTGGGTGCTGTGAGGGAAGCAGAGCCTAATCTGCTCTCCAGCAGAGCGCACGTGGCGGGCGATGCACTGCCATCCATGCCTGCTGCGCTGCCGCCCGCCTCCTCCAGCACCCTCGCTAGCAGACGGTTCATGCCGGCCATGGAGGACGGCGGGCGGGCAGCGAGCCAGTCAACAGTGTCCTGATCCAGTGGCTGCATGAGTGTGCCTCCTCCTGCCATGCTCCCCAGCGGCAGAGCACCACAGTTACCAGCACCAACGCCAGTAGCACTCAAGCCAACATCACCCATGCCACCTGCAGCACCCATGGCGATCCCAACCTCCCCCTCCTGCTCCTTTTGATCCTCCTGCTCCTGCTGCTCCTCCTGCTTCCCCCCTCCTCCCCCCTCACCACCTCCTCGCCCGCGTCTCGCCCCAGCTGGCCGCCGAACTCGCTGTTGTTCTCACCAAACGAGAAGATGTCCTCACACGACGACATGGACATGCCCATGCCCATGTCCATGCCCCCCATATCCATGCCCATATCCATGCCCATGCCCATCATCCCCAGCCCCATGTCCATGCCCGCGCTCCCCACCCGCGCCTCCTCTTCCGCGCTCTCCTCCACCCCCATCTCCCTCTCCCTCTCCAGGTTCCTCTCAGCCTCGGCGAAAATCGCATCGCCGATGCGCGACACGAGCAGCTTCTTATCGGCTTTTCTCTCCGGGGCCCTGTCCTCCCCCGCCTTGCCACTCCTCTGCTTCTCCACAGCTCCCACTGCTCCCCCTGTTCCCCCTGTTCCCTCTGTTCCCACTGCCTCTCCTGTGTCCACGGAGCAGCCAGCAGCAGATCGGAGAGACGCCCTGGCGGAGGCAGGGGAGGAGCTGGAAGGGCATGCGCTGTCTGCAGGGCACGGAGCAGCACCGCACAGCCTGCCACTGCCGCACCCAGCAGCGCCCGACGCGCCACTAGCACCACTACCAGCAGCAGCAGCGGCAGCGGCACTGCCAGCAGCAGCTGCAGCAGCGGCGGCGGCAGCAGAAGAGGCAAAAACGAGGGCCTTGTGGGGCGGAGAGGGGCGCAGCGGTACGCTAAGAGACCCTGCAGGCACACTCACACCAGCAGCAATGCCGGCAGCAGGAGTGGGTGCAGCGGGAGCGGTGGGAGCAGCGCACGCAGCGGAGGCAGGGGCGGAACGGGGCGGGGCGGGCAGGCGAGCAGCTCTGAGCGTGGCGGCAATGGCAGCCATAGCCGGGGAGAAAGGGCTGCCGGGCGGGGGGATGGGCAGGAACACGCTAGGACTCGCAGGGGCGTGGGCAGGGGGTGCGTGCAGGGGAGCTAGGGGGAGGCCGGGGGGTGTGGTGAAGGGTAGTATAGAGGTGGCGGAGAGGGGATTGGAGGAGGGAGCGGAGGGGAGAGGGGGTGGATGAGTGGCATGGGCTGTGCTTGGCGTGGGAGGGGATGGGAAGGCTGAGACCCGCCCTACAGTCACACCTTCCGCAGTCACAGTGCTCTGGCCGAGACCCGGGGACGTGAAGGCGTTGCTCTTATTCGCCGGGCTGCTGAGTACAGCAGCACCGTGGGGGGTTTTGCCACAGCCATCGCCGCCGCCATAGTGAGTCAATTTTTGAGTCGACTCAAAATTCGCCGGGCTGCTAAGTACAGCAGCACCGTGGGGGGTTTTGCCACTGCCATCGCCCCCATAGCCATCACCGCCACTGCCATCGCCACCACCGCCATCGCCAGTGCCACCGGCTCCCCCTCCCTTATCTTCCACCCTTCTCCTTAGCGTACTCCCATCCTCGATTGTCCAATTCTCCTGCTCCGCCTCCTCCTCCTGTTCCGCCTGTTCCCCCTGCTCCGCGCCCAGGTCCCTCATTACCACAGGCGACCACGACTCCCGCCCCCTTTCCCCGCCGCCCTGCTCCCCCTCCGCAATCCGCACAGGGGACGCCTGTCGCGAACCCACTGGCCTACCCACAGGCGCAGGCACGGGCGCAGGCACAGGCACAGGCAGGGTCCAGGGGGAGGTGCGCGCGAGCTTGTGGCGCGGGGAGACGAGGGGGGAGGCGGCGGACGCGATGCTGAGGGCGCGCTTGCCAGCGAGGCGGGGCGATGTGAGGAAGGCGGACGGTGCTGCAGCAAGAGCAGCCGCCACAGCGTTGGGGATCCCTGCTGCAACAAGATTACCTGCAGGCGCCGCACTGCCTGCAGGTGCAGCAGTGGCTGCAGATGCTGTTGTTAAAGAGCCGGCCTCAATGAGGGGGCTCTTAAGCCCCTTGGCGTCCCTGGGGTTGAGGCGCACAGGTGGAAGCAGAGGACTCGACCCACACGCTCCCTGCACCACCACCTGCAGCTGCTGCTGCTGCTGCTGCTGCGCCTGCTGCTGCTGCTGCGTGTGCTCGTGGTTCTCCAAGTGCAAGTGCCGCTGCCACACCATCTCCATCTCCTGCTGCTGCCGCGTGCGCTGCCGCTCGTGCTCCACCTTCTGCTGTGACAGCAGCAGCTCCTGCTGCTGCCTGTGCCGCAGCGTCAGCATCTGCTGCTGCTGCTCCTGCAGCAGCGCCAGCCGCTCCTGCTCCTCAACCTGCTGCTCCTCCTGCAGCACCTGCTGCTCCTCCTGCTGCTTCGCTATTGCCTTCTCCGCTAGCAGCCACTTCCCCTCGGATGTCTCCAAAGCAGATAACTGCCGCCCCTGCGCGCGCAGCCATTGCTGCTGCTGCTGCTGCTGCTGCTGCTGCTGCAGCTGCTGTTGCTGCTGTTGCTGCAGCCAATGCTGCTGCTGCTGCTGCTGCTGCTGCCACTGCTGCTGCTGCTGCTCCTGCTGCTGCTGCTGTTGCTGCTGCTGTTGCTGCTGCTGCTGCTGGTGCTGCTGTTGCTGAAACACCTGCGCAGCATGCGCTGCCTGCGCGGCCTGCGCGGCATGCGCGGCGGCGTTCATAGCATGCGCGTGCGCCTGCATCTCCTTCGCCTGCTGCTCTTGCAGCTGTAGCCGCTGCTGCTGCAGCCGCTGCTGTAACTCGTGCTGTAACTGCTGCTGCTGCTGCTGCTGTTGCTCGCCAATCCCGAATATTAGACCCATTTCCAGATCCACCCGCTGGTTCGGCATCCTCTCCCCTTGCCCCATGCCTGACCCGAAGCTTGAGCCGAGGCTCGGGTGAGTCACGGACCGCCCGGGAATGGATTGGAGGAGGCCCAGGTTCGGGTGCGCAGCAGAGAGCTGCCCGCCGGGGAAGAAGAAGCGGTTGCCTTGCGCGAGCTCCGCTTGTCTCTCCATCTCCGCCTTTTGCAGCGCGCCAAATCCCAACTCCTGCCCGCCAGCCTGCATGCCGTGCTGCGTGCCTGCCTGCGCGCCTGCCTGCGCGCCAGCCTGCATGCCCTGCTGCGTGCCTTGCTGCCCCGCAAAGTCGAAGTTCGCCGGGAAATGCGGAAGCGGCATCTGGTTCAGCTGCTGCGGCTGCGGCTGCTGCTGCTGCGGCTGTGGTTGGAACGGACCGCGGTCGGCGGCGGTGCTGGGAAGAGCACTGGGGGAATAGGCTGGCGGAGACATGCGCGACGGGCAGGGCGGCGCTCTTTGCGCGGAGAAGGACGAGGGCGCGGGCGATGTCATTCCGGCGGCGCACGCGGAGGGACGGAGCTGCGGGCCGGACGGCTGCTGAAACAGGCAGTAACGGCAAAGACGGACAGAAGAAGAGAAGCTTAATTTAAAACTTCATATGGAGGCAATATCGATTAACAAATGACACGGGTTGGCCATGTGTACAAAGAATGGCACTAGGCGACTTCCACGTACGACGCCGGAAAACCTGCAAGGAATCGATTGACCGCGGACAAATATGCACCAGACCTCACCTTGCCTGCTCTCGGGCTTTCCGCCAGATGCGCCGCGCTCCCTGCGCGCGCAGACTCCGGGAACAACGGCTGCGACGCAGCGCCTTGCGCGCCAGATGCTGCGAAACCGTGCGACAGGCTCCGCTGCAGCACCGCGTCCATCATCTCCGCATCTCCTGCCGCATCTCCCGCCGTCGTCACCGCCGTCGACGTCGCAACGGTGCTCGCCGGTGCCAAACCCACCGACGTGCTACTCGACATCGCTCGTCCCGCCGGCACTGCCATCCCCGCACCGCTCGTTGCTCCCGCCGCTCCGCGGGCTCCAGCGGCTCCGCCTAGCCCCGCCGCCCCCCACTGCTTCCGCGGAGCGGAAGCGCAGACCGTGGCGGTGCTGGGCTCCGGCGCAGCGGGTTTGGAGAGCGACGGGTGCTGTACGGAACTGGTGAGACTCATTGTCGTTGCCGGCGTTACTAGCGGTCGAGAGCTCTTCACGGAACGGGAGGTTAGCCGTGTCGCGCGGCCAGAATCTGGCGACGGCAGCGTGTCGTCGTGCGACATCCTCGTTGTGTGCGACGCGATGAGCGACGTCGTGGCGCCTGTTGACGTGGAGCACGCGGGGCGAGAGTGCTTCTGATGAACTTGGAGCAGCGGCGGGGGTGGTTTCGCCAATTCGCAACCCCAAAGCTGCGCAAGATCTGCTGCGGACGGGCAGCCCGTAAAATTTTCGAACGCATGGCGTCTGTGCAGTTGCGAAGCGGATAGCTTGCCGTGAATTGCGCTATCGCAAGCGATGCAGAGAGAGAGGTTTTCGTCAACGCAGCGAAAAGCTGCCGGTTGGAGGTTACAGCCGTCGCACAGGAGAGTTCGTTGATGTCGCAACGATAGGTTATTAGCGGAGTGTACAACGCGATCGCAGGAAAGGCACAGCCTAGCGGAATCGGCGCGGCAGTATACGGTGGCTCTTCCCTTCTCGCAATACTCACACGTACTGTCCATCTTAAAACGCGAAAACTAACCGTCGAAACTTAGCGCAAGAGCGATTTCTACAAGCTACAAAATCTAAGCGAAGCGAATAACAGTAAACTAGCTGGTATATCCCAAGCTAACAACCCTCTTGAGAATCAGCTGGGGTCCTGGTAGCAGTAAGCTAGCACATTCTACAAAGCTTGTGGAAGGAAAATGAGCACTACTGAAGGAGCTCTCAGACGCCCACCCATGAAACCCCCTTCCTGATGCTAGACATCAGACCTGACAGAAGGCTCAATTCACTCAGGGAATGTTTATTTCGTTCCCTTGAGCTGTCCGGTTCGACATGTACGCTCTTGAGTTCGCTAAAAATTTCACTTTTCTTGCCACCGAAACGCAACACGGCGGTAAGAACTTTGTAACTCCTAGAAGTAGATCCCACAAGCCCTGAGTTCGAATCTGAACAGATAGGGCGGAAAGCCATTCCCGCAATAAGTCAAGTGTTCCGCCACGAAACAAGGGTTGGGGGAAAGTCATTGCCTTCCCTCAGAGCAGCCGAAGTGCAGTGAACCGTGCGGAAAACTGCACTTTCGCAGTTCTGCTCAAGGAACTTTTGCGCGGGAAGGGAATCCAGCTCCAAGATTGGGGGGAGCTCTCTGGGGCACTCGTTCGACGCATTGCTCCCCGCCAACTCTCACTCACGGTCTCCGCCCACCCGCACCACGAACTTGCCGCGCTGGCGGAACCAGGAGGTGCTGTCTTCACAGAGCCAACGTGAGACGAGGGGCAGAGATGAAACAAGTTCTTCAGCGTACCCGTGTGCGCAAGAAAGGGATATGGCTGACGTGGTGGTCCTGAAAAAGAGCAGCTGCTGACGAAAAAGTGCCTCTGCACGCGCAGTGCTGGATTGCTGTTGCAATGGTGGGACTAAGACAATATCGCCTTTATCCAGATCTGGGCACTTTCTGGCACAACCACGAGGAGCCTTCCACGTGGATGGCAGCTTTTTAGAAAAAAACTGCACTGCGCGCACAGGCCAGTGAAAATACCTTCCGCCACGAAACCCTAGGCGCGCTTTTTTGCTTTTCGACACTCAGCTTGGCAACGTCCACTGTGGCGTCCATATGTGGGCGCAGCAGAAGATGCCATGTGGAATGAGCTTGTGGTCTCATCGTAGGTGGCAGATACGCTTTTCCTCACAGCCCTAAGATTGGGTACCGCGTGGACTTGAGCATGCCCCAGCCGCAACTGCCATTCACCGTATGAGGCTAGGAATTTCCACGTTTGACATTTCCGGGACTCGTCAACAGTACAGTACACTTGTTCCGCCAACTTCAGTGCTCCCAAACAGCACACCAGTGAGTCAGCCAAGCTGGATACTTTGTACAGTAGAAGCAGTAAAATTATCAGCTGCCCATTCAAGATGAGGGGGCAAGCTGCAACTCGCACGCAATCGCAACCGCAAATGCCAAGGCGGACACACCCAAGGCAGAAGTGATGGCGGGAGGGAGGGATGTCAGCAAGTTCCACAAGGTAGGTACAGCACACACAACCAATGGTTGAAAATGTTAAAACCTGAAACCTAACAAGGTCCAGCCAGATTAATGTTGTTAATTTAGCTTTATGACGTGTTTTTGAACCCAGACATGTGAATGGACAGTCCTCCGTTTTTAGCAGCCCAAAAAATGCGAAATAATTTCCACAAACTGCGAAGGCTAGTCATCACGAAATCAAGCCAAGTGCCTTCTCCCATCCATTGGCCACGAGTAGTGGTTACCACAACTAAACCTTGCAGGGACGGCACCGTTGTCAGAGGTCCACTGGAGATCCCCGATTGATCCTAGGGAAGGGTTACAGGCACGTTGGCCTGGGGGGTTATGGGTGCACTCACCCGCTACACAAACAAGCCCTTTTATCCCAATGGTTAGTGGTTGGGATTCTGACATGGTATCAGAGCGAAGGTCTCGGGTTCGAATCCTAGTGTGTGCACCTTGGTGTCAGAATGAAGAATGGATGGTGCATTGATGTTGGTTGGGGTACAAATAGCTAACCCTAAGTTTTGTACCTCCTAAGACAAACCTCACTATAGGCTACAACATTTGACACACCCCCATAGCCTAAGTGAGGGGTGTCTAGCAGAACCAAACGAGTACGGTCACAAGACCAGTCCAAGAAACAAGGCTCAGGGTGGATCACAACGTCACCACACAGTCTGAGCACAAACAACAGTGGCCACAAGGCCAGTCCAAGAAGTAACAGAGGTATATAGAAAGCAAAGTAAACAGTACACTCAAGCCTAAGCAACACGAGAACCAGTGTCAACAAGGCCTAACTGCACACAGCACCTCTGGTGGTCACAAGGCGGAAGCACCTTGGTGAAGATGTCTGCAGTGTTGGCCTCGGACTCCACAAACTCAAAGCGAGCCTGTCCACGCCTCTGCAACTCTCGCAGAAGAAAGTACCTGACGTGAATGTGCTTCACTCTGCTCTCCAGTCGTGGCTCTCGACAAAGGAGAATAGACGCCTTGTTGTCAGTGAACAAGGTCGGTGCAGAGCTCGGCCGCTCACCAAGGTCGGTGAGCAAGAAGGTCAACCAACGCAGCTCCTGTGCCGCCATGGCACCAGCGTAGATCTCAGCCTCAGCTGTAGAGGTCGAGACCGAAGAGGAGCGCGTGGACCGCCAGGAAACAGCTCCAGAACCCAGGCTGAAACAGTACCCCTGAGTAGACCTGTGAGTCTCAGCGTCGTCAGCGTAAGAGGAGTCACAGTGACCAGTAAGTACGACAGACTGCTGCCCTCCAAGAACTAGCCCCACGCCTGACGTCGTCGCTAGGTACTTCGCCACCCTCACAGCTGCTGTCCAGTGAACAGGACGGTGTCTCCCTGGCGCAACAAGGCACGCAAGAACGCTGAGAGGGAAGGCGAGGTCCGGGCGAGTACAAGTCATCAGGTACATGAGGCAACCCACAAGCTCTGCGTAGGGACCACTAGGCTCGAACGGCTCGTCAGGAAAGGGTCCAGTGAGTCTGTGGTCAACAGCAAGAGGTGTGCGCTGTACTGTGGAGTGCTGAAGCCCGAACCGCTGAAGGACCTGCTGCACCATGTGCGACTGTGAAAGTGTAATGGTGCGAGCAGCTCTGTCCCTGGTGATCTGCAGGCCAAGGTAGTGGCGCAGCTCACCAAGATCAGTGCAGGTGTGTCTCTTCTGCAGTTCGGACTTCACGTGTGCCAAAGCAACCCTGTCAGGGGTGGCGAAAACAAGGTCGTCAACGTAGACCAGAACAAAGAAAGGTGTGGTGCCACGACGAACGAACAGCGACGGGTCAGCAGAAGACGGCTGGAACCCAAGGTCAGACAGGGTAGAACGCAGGGTGTCGTGCCACTCACGAGGAGCCTGACGAAGACCGTAAACCGGTCGCCTCAGCCTCCACTGGGTCCCAGGAGGGAAAGAGCCAGTGAAGGCAGAGGGACGACGCAACCAGACCTCCTCGTGAAGACTGCCCTGAAGGAAAGCAGTAGAGAAGTCGAGAGAGTGTAACTCGTAGTCTCTCTGTGCTGCTACGTGTAGTAACACCCGAAGAGTGGTCATCTTCGGGGTGGGCGCGAAGGTCTGAAAGAAGTCAACTCCCTCGCGCTGACTGAAACCTCTAGCCACGTAGCGCGCCTTGAAGACCGGAGGAGATCCCGGTGGCCGCTTCACCCTGTAGATCCACATGCCGTCGACTACGTTCGCCCCCGGAGGGGGAACCTCATCGACGTAGGTGCCTGTGGATCTGTAGGAGGCCATCTCTGCGTCCATGGCAGCTCTCCACTGAGAGGCCCAAGGCCCTGACACTGCCTCAGCGTAAGTGCGAGGAGTCGGAATGTCAAGGGCGTCGGGGTCACCCTCAGGGGCGAGGAGCATGGCACAGAGATGAGGGGAAGCGGCCGCCAGGAACTCTAGCTCAAACTGCCTGTCCTCTAGGGCGTCACAGCCAAGGGCAGACACACCCCCGACGGCCAGAGGACTGGAAGGAGGAGCAGCCACAAGAGCGGTGGCGAAGTCAAGGCGGCGGGTAGAGGCAAACTCAGTGACTGCGGCAGTAAGAGCGGACACAGAGGACACAGAGGCACGAGGGTGAGTAACAAGTGAGGCGAGAACACGAGAGAGAAGAGGACGGTACGTGCGGTAGTAGTCAGTGACAGGAGTAGGGAGCGACGCAGTGAGAGCCGACTCAGGAGGAGACGGAAGCACAGACGGAGACGGACGAGGTGGACTAGAACGAAGTAAGGCAGTACGAAGGTCAGTGAAGGGAACAGGAGACGAGGGACGAGCACGAGGGGAGCGACGAGAGGCCCAAGTCTGAGAAGGAGGAGGGGACAACGAAGACTGAGAACGAGGGAAAACAGCGGGAGAGGGGTCAGGAGGAGGAAGCGGAGGACCAGAGACGGGAGGAGAGGGGGAGGAGGAAGGAGAGGGAGAGGGGAGACCAAGGGTCCGAAGACCCGAGACAGGAGGAGGAGACGGCAGCTGCTGCTGCTGCGGCTGCTGCTGCTCCAGCGGCTGCTGCCCCTGCTGCTGCTCCTGCTGCTGCTCCTGCTGCTGTCGCTCCTGCTCCTCGAGCCGCTGCAACTCTCTCTCCTCTCTCTCCAACTCCAGCTGCTCCTCACGAGCACGACGAACACGAGCCTGGAACCTGGTCGGGTAGGGGTGGGGGGAAGGAGTAGTGTCCGGGGCAGCGGCAGCCCCAGAGTCGACCTCCGAAGCACCAAGCACACCACCCCCAGAGGCAGCACCAACACCAGCTCCAGACCCAGGCTCTCCAGAAACCGAAGGAACACCCTCACCCCCAGACGCAGCACCAGCACCCCCAGACTCCGCACGACCAGTACCAGCCCCCGGAGGAGAAGAGTCCTCTGCAACCCGCGGCTCAGCTCCAACTCCAGCACCCCCAGAACCAGAGACCTGTACAGGGACAGTCGTAGGACCAACCTCCCGAGAGGGAGCACCTACAGGAGGCGGTGAGGAAGACTGTGGGGAGGGAGGCTGT